TGCAAATTCCTAAATATTAAAATTTGGGGGTTTTTTTTGGTAATGGAAGCTAACTGCATTTGAATGAAAGGCTCAATCTTGTCCTTGCTCCCTTGTTCTTTTTTTTTTTTTTTTTCACTTTAAGTTCTGGGATACATGCGCAAGAATGTGCAGGTTATATAGGTATATAAAATTTCGTTTATTTTTGATCTTTATGGAAATGAAACCATACCGAACAAAATCTTTTGCCATGCTTCGTTCACTCACCCTCACATTTTAGCAGTTATCCATGTTATTGTATGAAGCCAGTTTATTTTCATGACGATTTCTTTTATTATGATAATTTATCCATTCTATGTTAATGGATATTTGAGTTATCTCTACTTTTTTAAATATTACAAGCAATGCTGTTGTGGCTTCTGATACACATTATAGCTAGTTCCTCTCTACTCAGACACCCAGGAACTGCTGGCTCATATGGTATATGCTCTTTCAACTTCAGTAAATAATGTCAAAGTGTTTTCAAGAGTGGTTGTTCTCCATTTACACCCGCCACCGACAGTGTATGAGATCTGGTGTTCTTATGTACTATGGAACTTAATTTTTATCAATCTGGTGAGTGTGTAAATGATATCAAATAATAATTTTAATTTGCATTCCCCGATTACTAATAAGGTTGAACATCTTTCCATGCTTATTGGCTATTTGAATTAGTAAAGTATCTCTGGAAGTTGTCTATTTTTCTTTTGTACTGGCTATTCTTTTCTTAACAACAGGATACTAGTTATACTTATTTATGTATATTCTGGATCGCAGTATTCATTTGTTATGAGTAGAAAATAAATATTTCCTCTCGCTCAAGTGGCCTTTCATCCTCTTTATTATGTAAATTAATTACTATTAATTTGTTTCAAAAACTCAATACAGACAAAGGGAAGATTCAGACTATTTTCTGTTCGTATTATAAAAAGTATTAGATTTTATGGGATTCATATTTCCATTAAGTAAGTAAGTACTTAGTGTGTGACATACCCAAAGAAGATAATCACCTGTCCCGGAAGAACTTAATATTTGTTAAGGAGATAAGCTGTATGCAGATGCAATTGTAAGAACAAGGATAAAAAATGTTTAGCAATCGGCCGGGCGCGGTGGCTCAAGCCTGTAATCCCAGCACTTTGGGAGGC